TGTTTTTGTATATCATATGACATCATATGACATAGTGAAAGAGTTCACACCTACAGCCAATTCAGAATCACCAGCTAGTCTAACATGCATGTCTTTGAACTGCTGAAGGAAGCCAGAGTACCCGGACAGAACCAGCACAGTCAAAGGAAGAACATGCAGACCAGCTGGTCTTCCTGTGCAACAGTGCTAACTGCTCTGTCACCATAATTAAAGATACTAAACTATCAAAAGTATACCAGTCCTTTTTCCAGCTATATTTAATAACTGATCTACAGCTTTAAAACATGGTAATTGTGCAATACAGCCCATATAATCATCTCTCATAGTGCAATTGTACAGCACAGGTTTGGTCTCATATTAAGTGAAGTAAGCTACTTTCAGGTGTTCCCTGATTTGAGTCTCCTTCCAGGATGGAACCAGGAATCTTTCACATGCTAGCTGAGTGCATCAACCATTACTCTATGGAACTTACTGTGCAGTGACCAAAGTAAACCTGCAGAGTGAAAGATTAGTTTCAGTCTCACCGCCTAAAAATAGAGTAAAAAAAACTATAGGAAAAGTAAATGCAAATCTCTGCTGACACATATTTGTGCCTAGATGTTTAAAGGCTATTAGATGGGAGGTTGAGAGAAAAAGAGTCTAACCCTGTGCTTTCCCAGAAATATTGGAACATCGTGGCATGTGAGCGATTTAACAGTTTAATAAACATTAATAAAGAAATGTAGCATTTACAAAATGTTCAGTCAGTTAGACAATCACATCAGGTCATGAAAACTGATGTCTTTCAGTCTTAGCTCCTCATATTTTGGACTGTTTGCCTTCCACTGGAGTAGATGGAAGGTAATGATATAAGTATGATATGATATGAGGTGAAGACGTGCGGCCTTCATCAGGGTCATTACAAAATACCAAACAGTGTGTGTTTAAATAAAACAGTATACTGCAGAAACCAATCACACATTCACTCATATATTTATTTAAAAAAAAAAACATTAGTATTAGAAAATCTAATTAAAAACATAAAAACAAAATAGATTCTTATTCATACCTGCAGGAAATAAACTCTTTAAACAAAATATCCAGAATGCTTCAGTCTTTTCCCTGATAAAGTTTATATCACCGACTCTTTGACTGGGCTTAATGGTTTCAATGCCTATAAAAAAATAAAGGCAAGCTGCAATGTTTTTCATAAAATGTCTTGCAACAGGACTGGTTAAATTATTCCTCTTTGCAGAACTTAAATGTTCATTAATTTGTTCTTTCAGAGATGTTTCTCCTATAGATGTTGCATCACATAGGCACTGTATCATATAGACCACATTTTTAGTTTTGCAAGTGATGAAGCCTTTAACATTGATGATGTTGCCACTAATGGTTTTACATTTTTATTGTGCAAGACCCACATTTAGAATGACCTTGTAGTTTATGAGTTATCAGGGTTGTTTCTGGGGTTGAAGGGTCCTGGAAAGCTGGAATAACCTAATGTTCTTTTATAATGATAATGCGAGCACAATTATATATCTCATAAACTTACTTTCTGGAAATGATCCCATGAAACCACTCCGGGACTACACCGTTCCTGATGACAGACTGGAGCTGAGACTCTGTGAACCAGGTGTAAGGATCACGTTGTCCCTGAAACGTCTGACTTCCCTCCATCCTCCTGCGTAATGGTTCATTTAATCGACAGTTATGGCTAATGGAAAAATCACTGAGCACAAAGACCTGCAAATGAAGAAGTCAGTTTATTTAGTCTGTACATTAACTACGCACCTGCAGTACAGACCACATACAGGTATGAAAGCTGGTGTTAATATGCATTTTAAATATTCATTGTTCCTGTTTCAGGTGAAGTGCTCTGTGATGTCTATCAACAGTTCCTCAGGTGAATTATTATTAGTTCCCGTGCGTTTTAACGATCTCAAACATAATGCAGTTTTCCTGTAAAATGGCAAAGAGCTAAAGGATGGAGTCTACTCACTAATACTTTTGTTTACAGCAGTACCTGTTGTAAGACTTTATCAATTATATTTGTGAATTCATCTCAAATTTGCAATATGAACACATAATTCATTACAGAATACCGATTTTGTGAATAAAACTCAAAAATGTTGCTTCTGGCGTCAAATATAAACTTATAGGAAAAGTTACTCACCCTGTCTGGCAGCGCCGAGATAGAATGACACGGCTGAGCTCGCGCACCTGAAAAAACCTGTCTGTGGGCGGGGCCAAAACCCTACTCGATCCAAGTAGAATACAGTAAATTTTTAAGTACAGTAGAATAGTTTTTTTTTTTTAAAGAGACACATAGAAAACACTGAATAACATCACTAAATAAGAAATTAAATTATTCAGATACTCCACATACGTTAAGGCTGAAGTTGCATGTCTTGATTGTATCTGTGGCTGTACGCACACGAGCACACATGCGCAAAGCTGTGGAGAAAATGACCTTCAAGTGATTGTTCTGACTTAACAGATTGGAGATAAAACACAAGTGAAAGGAGAGGCTACAGTCTGAGTGATTTTAAGCAACAACAACAAAAAACCTCAAATGACTTCATCAGTACTTTCCAGCTGCCCCACGTTACTCCAGGGCCAGATTATTACGGAGTGCCGAAAAACGATTTACATCTGGGAAACTTCCTAGACGTCACTAACGACATGCAGTACATCCACATCCCACAGCATTTTATATGACTTATCATTAGTAAAACCATATTTGTTTTTATATGCAGTGCTTGATAAACAGGTGAGCACCTTTTAAGAAAAATAGATCCTGCTTTCAGGCATAATAGGTGACTTATTAACTGATTTATGATTCAATAAAAAAAAAAATTCCTGTAATATCGACATCCGCTTCAGAGAAAATCCACCGCCCACCTGACGATTGTTAAAAAGAAAAAAGTCAGAACAAAGGTCAAAGTCTTTCTGGTGTGAAGCAGAAGTGTTGAGCTCCAGTGCAAATCTTTCTGCGGGGCTCTTCTCCATTTATACACAAAGTGCCCCCACCTACGCACTCCACCTCCTCCACAATTTTATGAAAAATACGTTTTGGGGTTTTTTTCTTCAAACCTTGGTGAAGAAAGTTATCAGGGAACCACTAATGCTCATATGTCTTCTCCTCAAGCAAACAGGCCCCTATTGTAAACCAGCATTTTAAACTGCCAACTACTGATAGAGAAGAAAATAAACCACATCAGAGAGGAGAACGCGGCAGGGAGAAGTAACCTCAGTCTAATCATCCATCAGCTGACTAAAGTGAGAGCTGCGGCTCAGACTGCGGGCATATTCTTTCCCTGTTTGTAAGGCTCAGGAGGAAGTGCACGAGTACAATACGCTTGCTTACAGAGGGTGTGGAATAGATGGCATGCTGACTCCACAAATCTCTCCGTGATAATATGAGGCTGCTCTGCTCTGCAGTTTTTGCGCCACTTCAATGCCGTACACATTTGCATATTACCATGTGGTAGAGTGGCAGATTCATTTGCAATGCAAAACTCTACATCATGGATGGGAAAACATCAATAAATAGATTTCAGAGAAACTGGATTATAGGAACCAAAAATTTCAATTTGTACTGGTGTCATGGTGCAAACAGTAAACCAATTGATGATATATGATGACATATACAGTGTATATATATTAATTCTGTTTATGGGACTGTGCTCTGGATCTGTTGGAGCCACTTACCCAGTTTGGGGTCAAAGCTGAGGTATTTACTTCAGTGTACTCATGGATGTTTGCCGTTTCATCCTGGATGGTGGTTCTGATACTCACTAGTCCTCGGCCTTCCTTCTTCTTAGCAGACAGTCTCAGGGTGCTGGAATTCCATCTCATCCTTTAGCCAGCTGATTATCCGAGCCGGGCATCTGACTGCTCAGGACTTGCTTACTTTCTGCAGGTATTTGGTGGTTGCGGCTTTCCTAGCGGCCTCTTCGTGGTTCCCAATTGCCAGGTACTTGTAGCTGTCCT